AGCTCTAGTCAACAGGGGCTGGCGAAGGTACGGCGGTTCGCCTTCGTAATGCGAGCCACATCCCAACTCGTCTGGCTAGCCAGTCGCTAATCCAGGTCTAGGTCGGGGACACTGTACTACAAGCAGAACCTGCAACGATCATGCTGTCCTCATTATACGATGAGGTGTGTGATTGGTCCAATTCTTGTCCTTGACTAGCTTGCATTGACTTTTCGTCCAGGCTCGATGCCTCCGCCTTCACGCCTAGGAAAGACCAACGGAAGGCTATCAATCGTTGGAACAAATTCGTTCTAGGCCCGGAGTATATCCGTAGAGCGGCATACCTCTGCCCCAAGACACGGGAGTAAGTCGACCGTCTAATGTGGGGGAGGATGTGTGAGCTCACCAATGTTTAATCGTAGGGAGAAGAAGCGTCGCAAGTGCAACTTTGACCTTCTCGGTGCAGTTCACGAGGCTGAATACAGCAATGTGAAGCGGCCCATTGACCCCAAAACCAAGAGACCTTTGGAACCTGCTCATCGATTTGAGGTGAATCTGGAAGGCGACTCCATCTCTCAAGCCAAGTAGGTGTGCAGCTGCCTGTGTGTTCAACAGTTTATACTGACATCGTGCGAGATACGAACTTTTCCTCAAGTACCAGACCAAAGTCCACAAAGAGGATGCTTCCAAATGGGCAAACAAAGATTTCAAGCGCTTCCTTTGCTCGGGAATGACTCGATCTCCAGCAAATGCTGCCAAATCGGATGAAAAGAAGCTGGGCTCATGGCATCAATGCTACCGACTGGATGGCAAGCTCATCGCGGTGGCAGTCTTGGATCTGATGCCAAATGGTGTGAGCTCGGTCTATATCTTGTAAGTGTTCGACAGTAAACAGCAAGAGAAACCACTAACAAGAGAAGCTATGACCCGGAATACGAGCAATGGGAATTCGGGAAACTCAGCGCAATGCGGGAAATCGCTTTTGCCATTGAAGCGCAATATCAGTACTACTACATGGGTATGCTGAACACAGCCACCTTTTCTTCATACTTACTCAGCTAACTTGAAACAACAAACAGGCTACTACATCCACTCCTGCCAGAAGATGCGCTACAAGGGAACGTTCAGACCGCAGTACATCCTAGGTAAGATTTTCAGTGGACTATCAACTCACTCTATAATGAAAATACTTAACGCATTAACACATCTACAGACCCCGAAAGCCACACATGGGACCCTCTCGACGGCGAACTATCCAAGAAGCTCGACGAACGGCCCTACGTATCACTTTCGCGGGACCGACAAGCCACCACCACAACCGGAGACAACAACACAGCAACACAAGAAGAAGCAGACGCCGAGATCAATGACGAAGAAGTCTCCCTCTTCGACCTGAACATGCCCGGTAACATGACTCTCGACGAAATCAAAGCGCTGGATCTGGATCACTGGCTTCTGCTGGTCCACGGTACTTTCGTGCATATGATTGTAAGTCCACATTCTCATCCTATTTTCCACTCTCTGGCTGCGTACTGATTAACAATCTCTACAGGACCTTGTCGGGTGGGAGAAAATGCCCATTGATAACCCGCAGTCCGTCAAAGGTATCATTGCAGAGTTGGCGGCCGTGCTGGGCCCGGAGGTCGTTAAGAACAGTGCTGTGGTGCTTTTCGACTAGCGGGGTAGTGTATATGTAGTAGTTACCTTGCATAGTCCTGATTCCTTTCGTGGAAATCATATAGGAGGTACTACCATCAGCGGGGTCAAAAGCAGATACTGTAGTAAAATTTGAAAGTCAATTTACCTGCTTTGAGAGACTTGTTTAGGTCAAAGTCAGTAAGTAAAGGAAGAGTACTTATCCAGCGTAATGTGGGCGAATAATTACCTGATTATTTAGTATGATAATGGAGCCTAACTCTGAATTAGAGAATGTCGGAAGGACTTCATGAAGACTTTGATGTAAGCTAGCTAGTATGTTCATGTAAGGAAGATTGATTCAAGTGGTTATCCAATTTTTAGGTATATTTGCATGTCACTATGTATAGCTGATCGGTCTGTATTTTCAAGAATCGATCACAAGAAGGCGAGAGTAAAATAATCATGCTGAGAAACATGCTTCATAACCAACAAGTGCTGAACATATATGCACATAAGACAAGACAATCTCCCCCATTCCATATCCAGACGCCATTCATGATCCAAAAACATTTACTGCAAGTGAACAGAGAAACCCTGATGGCCAAGCGATGCATACCAAAATCTCAAGTCTAAAATCAGAGCAGATCCAGTCCCATGCACCACACGCGCCCAGTCACACCGAGGACTGTACATTAAAACGGAAGCGATGAAAAATGATAAAGTAGCGAAGGGCAAATTGACAGTTCTTAGATACCCCCCATCAGCTCCACTGGGGGCCGTGACGTCTTGGGCGGCATCTTCTTGACCGACATCTCGATGGGGCTCATGTCCATATCGATATCCTCGTCTAGGGAAGCACTGGTGTCCTCGACCATGACAGCAGGCAAGTTGGGGCTACCTCCGTGGTCCTCGGGGTGGTAGATGAGTGTGCTGCTGCGGCTGCGCGTCTGCGACAAGGCCACGGGCCAGCTGCTCGTCCTCTTGTCCGAGGTCATGGACATCGGGGTACCCGGCTGTTGTTGTTGTTGCTGTTCGATAGAGGACACCACCACTCCCGTCGCTGCTTCCTCAACACCGGACTGCTCCGTCTTCAACTTGGCCAAAGCCTGGGCGAGATCACTGGCGTGGACTTCCTTGTTCGGGGGATCTTCCTGGCGCATGACCCAGCCGTGGGGCGGGGAGGGGGGCGGTGAGATGAAGAAGAGCTTGTCGACTTGCGGGGCCTCCAGGAGTTTAGGGCGGGACTCAAGGTCGTCCATAATGGGAGTTGGTTCGCCGAAGTAGATCTTGGGGATGATGGGGCGGTTGAGCAGTGGTGCGCCAGTTAGGAGTTTACGGATGCGGAGAGCGTCGGAGTCCGTGTGGAAAGAGCAGAGGATGCGGCGGAGGGAGGGGAGGGGAGAGAAGGAGTTGAGAGGAGCCAAAGACTCGAGATAGGCTCTAAGGTTGGCGAGGGAGTCGGGTTGGAAGAGGAGAATGTCGTTCAGGTCGGTTATGATGAGGGTGTTGGAGGGAGGTGTGGGTTGCGTGAGAGGGGGGAGGTTGGACATGTCGAGGGTGAGAGAGGGTCGAGAGGAGCGACGGGCTCCAAAAGAAGGAGAAGAGGTGAGAGAATGAGGTGGTGAAGCGGTATTCATTGTGTGAATGTTGTTGTTAGTTGTGATGATGATGGTTGAAGGGTTGTTTGTTTGTATGTGTGTCTTCAGAAGAGAGAAGGAGGAGAGAGTCGGTGGTGGTGGAGTAGTAGTAGTAGTATAAGTAGTTGGTGGTGGTTGGAAGTGGAGGAGGCGATAGTAAAGATAAGCGGGAAGAACGTTCAAATCTGGCAGGCGCTTATTCAAGGAGTCAACCACAACCACATAGGTACAATCAACTCTATTCTTTGATTAATTGATTGATTGAAAGAGTGGTTGTTGTTCAATTTGATGTTTTGGAAATGAACTGGAGAAGTGGTTTAAGAAGGAATTCTGCAGAAGAAGCTGCTTGCATCTTATAGGCAGCGAGTGAAAAATCCGTCTTCGTCGACGGCGAGGCGCAGCCAAACGCCTTCGTGTCGCAGTGGAGATGCAAATCTGCTTCTTTGCACTGCCTTCCACTCACTCTTCGGCTCTTGCCCATTTTCAGGCAATTTTGGCTCCGTTCCTGTCGATCTCCGCACGCAGTTCTCCTTCTTTCTTCGCTGCAATCTGCATAGCGCATTCGCCACACTCACTTTCTCGTCCTTCGCCGTGTGGCTGAACTGCCGCTATTGCCACTAGATGCCCCCATTATTGGTGTCGTTTACAACTCATCCCCAACAATGATGATGATGCCATTTGCTGCTCTTGACTGTGGACCTCCTGATGATTAATTCAAGTGTGGCTTGACTCTCTCTTCTCTGCCTCCCTTGTCGAGGCTATTGACTCCTCCTTGACTAGTACAGCACGCAGTAAACAGGGTCTCCCAATGTGATGCTCAATTCGCTAGTGTCCAATGACTCCATCATCAACAGCCTCGGAATGCTTCACATGTCGTGGTCTCCACTGCTTGTGACACATGAATGCCCCTTAGTTTCCACCCCCCTTGTCCTGAACTTTGAGTCTATCTATGTCTATTGTGTACAAAGTAAGATACATCCCGGAGGATCCAACATATCCATGGTTCCGCTTTCTCCGCAGACTCCATGATCCATCGGGTATGCAGCTCCGCCCCGACGGTGGAGAGCCGGCGATGAATGGCAGATCGCCGAATATACTACGCATACTTGTCCCCAGCAGCTGGCGATTTCCATGTTAGCCGCGTTGCAACTCCAGGCAGGCAATATTCTATGTCTTAGCTCTGGCACAGCATACTCTTGACTGCATTGCATGTATTGGCTGGCCACGTATTCGGCTTCCATACCAAGCCTCCCCTTTGTGTGATGCAGCTCGGCTGTCACCCATTGCCAAAGCCCCGGGCCTAGGACCCTGCAGTGTCGGATACCACCCAGAGCTTATCTGCAGCTTCTCTGCCTTGTCAAATCTCTGTCATGCTATGTCACATGTACGATGTCCCATGAGTCGTGGCCTTGCTCGTGCTACTTACTACTCCTAGAACGGCCTTCGTGTCATATAGCTTAGATGTCATATGTTGGCTTCCTGCGAGGCTCATAGTGCCTTGAGACCGTTGGATCTCTCTGCTCAGCTTATCTCATTTACAGTCTCAATCCTCTTCTCCGGAGTCAAATTCTGTCTGCCTGGAAGTCTGTGGGTAACACTGCATGAACCGATCTAGCTAAGCCCTGAAGCTCTGACCACATCCCGTTCTCTAGCATAGCCACTCACTGTCCCGGTGTCCCCGACATGCAATGCAACCGCTCCTTAGAGTCTAATCTGCAGCCATGTCGCACACTGCCATTCTCACGACAATGATACATTGGTCAGCCGAACGTAGATGGCACACTATCTGTATGACGGCTTTCACGGACATGGCGCCTTGTATGTAGCCTCCAGCAAGGCTATTACTCTGCCAAACATGCCATTGCATGACCGTCCTTCCGCAGCTTCATACGATCATAACAAGGCTTCTTCTGAGCCCTCGACTGGCAGGTGCACATGAACTCACAATGGGATTGAGGCTAGGTAGATGAGCCGCGCTCTGCATAAATGTTGGCGGCTGCGCTTACAATAGCGTAGGCAAACGCATTACACAGGTATATTCCAGCCAACATTACTGGTTGGATACGAAGTATGGAGTTTGGGGGCCATCTGTAGAAGCTCCTAACTAATGCATCCCTTTTCATTGCTTTTGCTGATTTTGTGGGCTCATATCGGATCCATCCTTGGCGTTAGGGCGCAGTTACCGAGTGACCCTTCACCGACAGTCATTCAAACACATGATGATATCCATGTGCGTGCTGAGTTGTTGTCGCTTTATTATTTCTCCAATCACTTTCACACCGTCGAAGATAGTTTTCCGTATTTCGGCAAGAAGTGCAGATGTTCTGTGCAAACAGCACTCGAGACCTGGAGGGATGCCCATGAGAGTCTGGCAACAATCGAACTGTCGTGCCATTGGAGACAATTGTCATGCCATTCGATGGGGTCTTTCCAGCGTACACTCAGCATAGATATCCCTCTGAAGGGCATCGTTCACTGTTGGCCCTTGGTAGTGATTTTCATATTGAGAGTCGTATGTGCTATTAGCAAAATGGTCGTCTTACTCATGGAAGTGGGAGTCACTCGGTCACTGGTGCACATGTCAATGGCCATCAATTCATGGCTTAGACATCAATTTTCTCGCTGCAGCCATGGTACACTATCGAAAGAAGCCAATAGTCCAACCAAGGCCTTCAACGAACCATGTTTCCCCCCAAAGCACAGATTGTTCACGGTGATGACCGACTTCGCACATTGATGCTATGGCAGTATACTCACCGCCATAATTGCCGCTTTTATACATGGAAGAAAGCATATCATGTGCCATGCGCCATAGTCGATACAGGTAGAAATCATGCATTTATAGACAGCACTTGAATTCTGGAAAAGGTAGATAGATAAGTTCCGAGGCAGATAAGAACTGTATTGAATGTCAGCTAGAGCCTTGCAATGCTCAATAAAAGGCAGCACGCGATCATCCGGCCCGAGGTTTCTCCCGGTGAAGGCGGTCAGATCAAGCCGCCGAAAGTTCTGCTTTCCAACGATTATCGCCGATTTTGTTCAACCTCTCACGCCTCCAATCCCTCATCATACTTTGTTATTCATAGTCACCATCTTTCACTTCCTTTCCTTCCAAAATGTTCCAGAGAACCTTCCTCAGACAGGCCCAGCGGTCCCTCCGCTCTGTGCGCCCTACCTCCATCAACACCTCTGCTCTCCGTCGCACGCCGCAGCTCCCCCAGGCTGTCCGCCCAATTGCTCCTCAGTCGGCCTACCGGTTCTACTCTACTGAGAACAAAGCCGAGAATGGCGAGAAGAAGGAGGGTGAATCTGCCCAGGAGGCTGAGGACCCCGTCCGCAAGGAGCTTGAGGAGAAGAAGAAGGAGGTCATTGAGCTGAAGGTAAAGCTCCCCTCTCAACACGAGCGCCCGGCTCAATTTGTGCTACGCCTTCCACGGTCGTAAATGGTACCTTGCAGATCGTCTAACCCTTTCATTAGGACAAGTTGCTCCGCTCCAAGGCCGACTTTCTCAACCTGCAGGAGCGCACCAAGCGTGATATGGAGAACTCTCGCAACTTCGCGATCCAGCGCTTTGCTGGCGACCTCCTCGAGTCCATTGACAACTTTGACCGCGCCCTCCTTGCTGTTCCCAAGGATCAGCTTGATGCTCCCCAGACTGAAGCCAACAAGGACCTGTTGGAGCTCGTTTCCGGTCTGAAGATGACTCAGAACATCCTTCTGAACACCCTGAAGAAGCACGGTCTTGAGCGCTTTGACCCCAGCGAGCCCACTGAGGATGGCAAGACCCAGAAGTTCGACCCCAACCTCCACGAGGCTACCTTCATGGCCAAGGTTGAGGGCAAGGAGGATGGTGACATCATGTACACCCAGAGCACCGGATTCCGTCTCAACGGCCGCGTTCTTCGCGTAAGTGATTGTTCTATAGCATGTATACGTGGTCAATCATGCTAACTTGTTTACTATAGGCTGCCAAGGTCGGTGTCGTCAAGAACTAGACGCTTTGCCAACACTCTTAACCATTATCTCTCCCTTTCCGCCTCCCTGTCTTATCTTCTTGTTGTATAATATACCAAATACGTCTTCGCTATGATGGGGATCGACTTATGTTAATCCGACAGGCTGGAACATCTGGAATTGTTCCAGGTCTCTGTTGCTTTGTCCATGAACGCATGTGTGTATGATACACCTTACCTGTGTTGTGTGGTCTTGGTGCTTTTATATCTTTTCTGTTACTTGGCGTTGTTTCTGAACTCTCTCCTCCCTATTCTGTATATTATATCCCTGGCTGGTGTCTTTGTTCCTTTACTTCTCTCATGAAAAAAAAGTGGGATTGTGTTGTTGGGATTGGCATTGGCACGGATGTGGATGACATTTGCATGGCATTGGATCATGTTGTTTTAATTGCATCACTTTGCTTGCCCGGTAGGCAATGCAAGGTGTTTTGATCTAAACGACTAATAGAAAGTCTCTTGATCAAGACGATTGATGAAGTTACGGTGTGCATCTTGGTAACAACCAGCGTAAGGCATGTATCTGCAGTCTAATGGTCCGCATTGTTCCCGTGCAATCAACAATAATAACGACTCAATATTTCGGGGGTACCTATCAAGAATATTTTTTTTTTTTTTCCTGCCGTATCCTCGTAATTGAATGGTGAGTTGCAATTGCGCATCTCCCTCGGTGGCTCATTTTCCCGGCCCGATGTGTTTTGTAGACTCGGAGCTCTCAAACGCCGCAACCAGCAGTCGACTGCCCTCGGCGCCAGTCATTGATTAACTCGCACAGCACTCCGAGATGCGTCTCTTTGCCACTGGGAGGGCCCTGCGCGCAAGCAGTGCCCGGTGGGCAATTGCTCCCTCACGTCAGAGCGTACGCATCCCACTCTCGCAGTTCTCGGAGCCCTTTGCCGTGAAGCGGAGAGATTGGAGTTCGACGGCAATCCGCCGAACAAACGAGAATGCAGATGGCAATCAAAAGCCCTCCCTCCGGCCTTCAGTACCGCAATCCTTGACCATCGAAGGTCAGTCCTATAGCACAGATCCGTGGACGAATACCCCGGATACGATTCTCTCCCACATCGGCCGCCGCCTATATCTCGATGAGAACCACCCTCTAGCGATTACGCGCCAACTGATCGAGAGCCAATTCCCTGGCCCGGCATACGGAAACTACACCGAGAAGAACCCTGTTGTGTCGACGGCGCAGAACTTCGATGTCCTGGGCTTTCCCTTGGATCACCCCGGTCGGAGTCGCACGGACACTTACTACATCAACGATAAGACGGTCTTGAGGACACACACCAGTGCTCATCAGCAAGCATACTTTCAACAGATCAATCGCAATGAGAGCACCCGTCCGGAGGAAGTTGGTTATACTGTCGTCGCTGATGTGTATCGAAGAGATGCGATCGATCGCAGTCACTACCCGATCTTCCATCAGATGGAAGGCGCTATGCTTTGGAAACGACCGGATAATGAGCCCTTGAAGCATGCTAGTCAGACTGCCGCTACGATCATGGAGGATGTCAAAAAGATCCCTGCTCATGATGTCGAGGTCGAGGACCCCAACCCTACGATCCACGCCCAGAGAAACCCCCTTCAGGCGGAATATCATAGCGAGGAGGAAGTTGAGGCCATCGCGGCGCACCTCAAGCGGTCTCTGGAGCGCATGGTCATCAAGATCTTTACCGAGGCCAGCAAAGCTGCTGCTGGTAGCAGTGAACAACCAGAACCCCTAAAGGTCCGCTGGGTGGAGGCATACTTCCCATTTACCAGCCCGTCCTGGGAGTTGGAGGTATTCTGGCAGGGTGACTGGCTCGAGGTCCTTGGTTGTGGTGTTATCAAACAGGAGCTGCTGAACAACTCGGATGTGCCCAACCGTGTCGGATGGGCCTTTGGTATCGGTTTGGAGCGTATTGCTATGCTTCTTTTCAACATCCCGGATATCCGCCTGTTCTGGTCGCGTGACGAGCGATTCCTTTCCCAGTTCCGCGCGGGTGAGATCACTCGCTTCGAACCATTTTCCAAGCACCCCGCCTGTTACAAGGATGTCGCCTTCTGGCTGCCCTCTGCGTCTGTTAGCGGTGGCAGTGCGGCGGGCGGAGCTGCGCCCGTTCACGAGAACGACATCATGGAGATCGTCCGCGGCGAGGCAGGAGACCTGGTGGAAGACGTCCAGCTGATTGACGAATTTACCCACCCCAAGACACACCGGAAGAGCATGTGCTACCGTATCAATTACCGGAGTCTGGAGCGCACCTTGACGAATGAAGAAACAAATGACCTACATGAGAAGGTCCGACAGAAGCTTGTGGGCTTGCTGGGAGTCGAGCTCCGCTGATGGCAGCGAATGTTATTATAAATGCTCGCGATGTACTAAATGCCAAGTTACAGTTGGCGAGTCGAGTCTATATGTACAACAACTGTGTATTACCATGTTCAGATGAAATCACCTATCCTCCAACATTAAGCGAACGTTGGGCTAGGGAAGATCTAGCCGCGGCTGCTTTCATGTACCTTAATCTAGTCTACGGCATGGCACGTATGCAGCGTGACGTAGTGGCGATCCAAGCAGGGCCTATACTATGTAGTAGAGTAGGACTGTCAAGACCAGCTGAGAAGCTGCCAAACAGCTATGGCAAAGCATGCTGGCTATTCCCCAGTCTTCGGAGGTAATTTAAGCACCGAGTGCATCAGCAGATTTGCCCCAAGCGAGGCTATCTCGATAGAGGCGCCCCGCGGGTATCGAAGGACACAGAGAAAGGCTACTTGAAATACGCGCATTACCGAGGATTACCGCTCGGCCTCCTTCTGGCCGCCGGAAACCGAGACGCTGATTGGCCAGTGCGGTTCCAGACCGGTTAGTGCAGCCGAAAAGCAGGGTTTCGGAGACTTGATCTATGTCCGGCGCCGCCGATTTCTTACCAGCGTATTACTCACTTTACTGCGTCAGACAGGACTTTATTATTATTATCATCGTTGCCTTCATTCCATCTCTCGTTCAAACTACGAAATCTCCCCTCCTCCAAACCCCCTCTCCACTCCCCCTCCTCTCTCTGTCTCCCTCCTTGGGATCACTCCTCCCTCCGCTGAAATGTCTACCATGGCCAGTGGCGCGAAGTTGGAGGCGTCGCATCCTCCCAAGGCGGCGAATGCTCCAGCCCCTGCAAAAAAAGTTCATTATCCTTTCTGGTTCGGTGGTTCAGCATCATGCTTTGCGGCTGCCGTTACTCACCCTCTGGATCTCGGTAAGCTCTAATTTAGCCAACACCAGGGAAAAAAAGTATGTGCTCGAATTGAAGCTAATCTTCGTCTATAGTGAAGGTAATCTATGCCTCCTGGACTTCTTATAGGAACTTTTGATTTTTACCCCTCCGCGTGCTTATTCCTATACCTCGTTGTCTCACTGGAACGCTGATCGATGTGCGTTTCAAAAATTTATAGGTTCGCCTGCAGACCCGCGGGCCTGGCGCCCCCTCGACTATGGTCGGCACATTCGTGCATGTGTTCAAGAATGACGGATTTTTCGGTCTCTACAGCGGGGTATGTAGTATCCACCAACCCTCCAGATCATGTCGATTTCAGTACATGATGCTAAAGTCAATTCCTGTAGTTGTCCGCCGCCATTCTGCGCCAACTTACCTACTCCACCACACGATTCGGTATCTACGAGGAACTCAAAAACCACTTCACCTCCCCCGACTCGCCCCCTGGCCTCTTCACCCTGATCGGTATGGCCTCTGCCTCCGGTTTCATCGGTGGCATGGCTGGTAACCCCGCCGACGTTCTGAACGTGCGCATGCAATCCGACGCCGCTCTCCCTCCCGCTCAACGCCGTAACTACCGCAACGCGATTCACGGATTGGTGACCATGACGCGCACCGAAGGTCCCGCCAGCTTGTTCCGCGGTGTGTGGCCGAACTCGACCCGTGCTGTTCTCATGACAACGTCGCAATTGGCCTCGTACGATACTTTCAAGCGCTTGTGTCTCGAGAAGCTGGGCATGTCTGATAACATGGGAACGCATTTCACGGCCTCCTTCATGGCTGGATTTGTGGCTACCACTGTCTGCAGTCCCGTTGATGTGATCAAGACTCGTGTTATGAGCGCGTCCCCGGCTGAAGGCCGCAGTCAGAGCATCGTTGGACTGCTCCGCGAAATCACTAGAAAGGAGGGCCTCGCATGGGCTTTCCGTGGTTGGGTGCCGAGCTTCATTCGTCTCGGTCCTCACACCATTGCTACATTTATCTTCCTTGAGGAGCACAAGAAGCTTTACCGCTTGTTGAAGGGGCTTTGAATTCCCTGAACAGGTTTGACGTATAGATTTGCTTGATTCTGATTTGTCTTTCCTCTTTTTTCCAGGCACATATCTGCGATATCCGTCCATATGCTGTGTTTTCTTGGGATAGATGGTCTTCTGCTTTTTATTTTGTTATAAACCTTTCTTTCTTGATCTCTCATTGGCGAAGCATTACCGGGAGGACAAAAGTCTTGCGCTTTTTTTTTTCTTGTGTTCATACCCTTGTATATATCTTATAGATTATATTTCCTTTACCTTTACTGTTATCTTTCATTTCTCTTATTTTCTCCTATCTTTTACTCTTGATTTCCTTGTTGTCTCTTCGAGCTGGCTAAAGTGACTTCTGTCCTCCAGTTTCTTTTCAACGCTTCGCCTACATCTCGCCTCTTTCTGTCTGCATCTGTCCACCATCTGGAATCAACTAATATGGAACAGCACGTACCTCGGAGGCATATACGTCTCCTCACTTGACATCTGATAACAAGACTTAGACCTCTTGGGACATAACTGATCCAGAGACCTCCAACCACTGACTGTGATTGGCGTCAGACTTGAAAGCCATCTATCACCAACTAACGTTCATAATTCTATACTACTATGGTCTTGGTGAGAGAGTGCTTTTTGCTATAACCTACAGTTCATACAACATGTATTCTTTGCAGTTTAGATTAGATCAGAATGAAATGCCATAGTCCTCTTCAGACTCATATACTTACAGTATTGTATCATCTTCTCTCAAGTCCAACACTCGATTGCGGCTGGTTTCATTCTAAAAATGTACACTGCCACAGGACTAGTAGTACGTAGTATTTTGACCATATCATCAATGTTCGTTGTATTGGTTGTATAACTAGCAGTAAACAGCTGTGAGCTTGTCTTTATAGGAAATAGTTGCTTCGTCAATGTACATAGTGAGGTAAGCAGGATGCATAACTGGGATAATCAGTTATCAGTCAGTGGTTCATTAGTTTGTTGTGAAAGATTTGTTTTTCGGGTTGGTGATTGGTGGGTTGGTTGGTTTACTATCGGATATCGTATGATCTTTCGACGGTGATGTTGGTGGTAAGCAGAGTGGTTATCATTTATTGTTGTTTTAAGCTTTTCAGGTATTCTATAGTAAGGTGAGTGGCATGTGGGAGTTGAAAATGAACGTTTATATGGCTGCCTATTTTATATCAACATTTAGGGTGATAGGTGGAACAGGACAGATTCATAAGAAAATTATTGGCTACGAGCTTATGCTGAGCTTTATGGGCGCGGTTTGTTTGACACATCATTCCAACTACGCGAGTCTATATACACTCAGTCTTCCAACCCAGCCGAATTGAGTCTGGGGAGGGGCTCAGAGCTAACAATTCTCGCTGGATCCAACTTATAGGGTAGAGTACATGTTGACAAGACACACGAAAAACAACTTTGAACTTTCAATTAACGGTGAACAAAGTAGTTAAATGCGTCTACCGGTCGAGACGAGCGGGGAAGTTACCAGCCTCTGTAAGTTTCTTCGTTAGTATGTCGCTGTTTGATATATAAGATATAGGATCATATAATGGGACTACATACCGCGCTGGCCGTCCCATCTGTCAGTCCAGGCCTTGGGGCAGAGAGAGCGGAAGGCGTGGTAGAACTGTTTTCGGTTCAATGGTGGTTAGGATTGGATTCGCTTGGGTGTGGCATGGGGAGGCAGTAGCTAGCTAACCTGGCGGCATGGGCGGAAGTCCTCGCCCTTGGCGGTGACACACTTGTGGTAGTCGACGTAGTTCTGCCAGCAGTGCTTGGTCCTGTGAGGGTGGAAAGAAAGACGTGTGGTTAGTTATTGCAGTTCGTACTGGGAGGCAGATTGAGCGGAGAGGTGTGCGAAAATCACGTACTGGTTCTGCTGGGGGAAACGAGCGTCATAGCCTATTCATCACCTCATATGTCAGCCCACAAAACTACCTCGATCGCGACGACAGCGACGGCGCCGCGACTGCTCGAAAACCTATCCTAGACGTACCAGCTGTGAAATGATTAGCAATTGACCTTAATTATAGGACGAATTGGACCCATTGGAGGTTGGGAGAGGGAAAGCTCACCAGTCACGAACTTGAAGGGCTTGGTCTCGACGGGCTCATCGGGGTCAACTTCAGGAATGGCACCCATTGTGATAAGATTGAAGGTATAGTAACCTTAAATAGGAAACTTGGGGTGTTGATTGGAGGGGGGTGGGATGAGCGGAGGGAGGAGGGGAGGAGGTCTGGAGAAACCGAGAAAGAGAGGAGGTTCTGCGGCCGGTGGAGTGGAATGACCCGTGAAGCCGTGAAGCCGGAAGTTCACGTTTGACCGCCTCAGGCGCCAAACTAGAGGTTACTAGCGAGCCACTCATGCGCCCAGGTTTCCTAAACACCCGAACCACCACCGTGACTTCCTACCGCCTTACCTAAGTGGTGCAACCTCCCCTTCCATCAAGCTCAGACTTCCGTCACCACTTCCCGATCTTGCCATCCCACCACTCAAGTCGTTCTGATACTCAACTTCAACCACCCCGGTTGCTCAAAGCCCATTCGCCATGTTCCCTACTCGTGTTCTGCGCATGCAGGCCTCCCGGCCTTTCGCTTTTCCTGCTCCTGTGAGTTGGCCCTCGGTCCCCCGTGTTGGCGTGGATGTTGGGGAAAAATTACGTTTGGCAGGGTGGCTAACAAGTGGCTACAGAAGGAAAACCACAGCGGTATGGGGTTCCCTCCCCGGTTTGCGCATAGGACCGATACTTGAATGATGGAATTGTGTTGTTGGAGGTGGGAATTGGACTAACGCCTGGCTTCTAGCCCACACTATCTCTCAGCGTCTGCGCACTCTGAAGAGAGTCCCCCCGGAGTTGATCCCTCTCGGTACGTCGCGGTCTGAATGATTAACATCTTGCCATTGGTTTACAGCAGTGCTAATGATTGTTTCTTGAATCCTACAGGTCTGGTCCTTGGGTATGTTTATTTCCTGATATCCTATGGCTTCTACATGACATGCCGTGAAGTCTAATCCCGACCGCCTCCCACCTCCCTTCCTCTCCCACTCCGCAGTCTTCATCTGCCCTCCACTGACGCAGTTCCATCGCAGTGTCGCCGTCGGTGCTGCCATCTACTCCAGCACCCGCAAGCTCATGACCGACAAGACCCTCCGTCTGTACCGCAACAGCCCCGAGGACCGCGAGCACTAAGAATGTACCATCACATTTGATTTCCAAATTGCAATGGGCGATTCTTTGTTTGATTTTTCGGCGATCTGTATCATTCACGGGGTAGTCGGGCCTTGTCGCGCGGCCAGAGTTAAGAATGGAATGCTCGAAAATTCTCAGGCTCAGGGTTGGAGCGCGTGTAAATATTACGGCTTTAAACGAAGGGTTCCTGATGGTGTAATATCGCAATATTACTGTGGCCCGCTTCTTGGCTTATCTTTTTCTTCGTTGCGCCAGTTTCCCCTGGCGTGAGTGGATTATCGTAGAGCTCATTCCGGCTTGGGTCCGGCCACGTCCAATTCCTCGAGTCCTTGCATGGGATCTTGACGTTCGACTCCGTCGGTCTCGCCTCCCTCGGCAGCCAATTTGTCTTCCTCATCGACGGCATATTTGGCCAAGTACCCCTCCTATTGTTTCATACGTAATTAGCAAATGATCTGTAATGACAAGGTGAACGTCACAGCGTACCTGTTCCCAGATAGCCGTCTTGCTGCCGAGTCCTTCATTGCTGTCCTTCTGCGGCTTAGCAGCAGCAACCTTGATTGTCCGGCCATATAGTTCGCTTCCATCCATGTTGTCGATCGCCTCTTTCGCATCTTCGGGCAGATCAAACTCCACATATCCAAAACCGCGGTGGAGCTCGTTGGAGTTCGGGAGATCGGGTTTGGGGAGCGTAATATCAACCACTTCACCAAAGGGAACGAATGCCTCGGCCAGCGTCTGCATCGTCACGGCCTGGTCAAGACCCCCCACGTAGACGGTACATTTTAGACGTGCTTTCTCGCTCATGGTCGGTCGTAGCAAACTTCCTAAATGGGCTAGGATGGAAAACGTCACCGAGAGGAGGGGGAGAGAAAGAGCGACCGCGTCGGGGCCTTTTCACTTAATGCCTAGGCAAAGCTCTAGACTTTGGGACGGAGCAACCTGATATCACGTGGTGCCCCCGGGGCGGGTGTTTTGGCGAGGGCCCAAAGCGGTTTAGGGGCCATCAGCCCCCCCGAGCGCCCTCCAGGAGGACACTTGGTTGATTGCAGTGACGCCCTCGATCGCATACTTGGCAACTCACCGTACATGCACCCCTCGGTTCTTCTATAGAGAGGGGAGGTTTCTTTCTTAGGTTGTTTCTCTGCTTGTTTTTCTGGTTCTCCCGCTCCTGGTGTTGCTTCTCGTCTATGACCTTTGGTGCCAGACCCTCCTAATTCGTGTCTGGTCCTAACTCTCCTAATCTATACCCTTTTCTTTTCCCGCCGCTCCTTTACATCTCACCATGGTGCGTCTGAGGGAGATTCCCCGGACGGCCACTTTCGCCTGGTCCCCCGGGGCTGCGTCGCCTCTGATCGCTACCGGTACTCGGGCCGGTGCTGTTGACGTCGACTTCTCCAATCAGACATGTCTGGAGCTCTGGGATCTGGCACTCAGCCGCCATGAGACCGGCGGAGAGCTACAGCCGGTAGCTAAGATTGATACGGACTCCGGGTAAATAGAGCCTTGCGTCTACCCTGCAATTTGCCGTGTAAGGGAAGCCGATGTGCTAACTATATCGCTCCGATAGCTTCAATGACCTAGCGTGGACGGAATCCGAAGATAACTCGCGGGGTGTGATAGCCGGTGCTCTGGAGAACGGCTCGTTGGATTTGTGGGATGCCGATAAGCTGCTTAATGGTTCCGAGTGAGTTGGCGGGTGTGCTCTATGTTGGGGCTGTACAATTGGCTGACGGTTCAAAAGTGATGCTGTGATCTCGAGAACTTCCAAACACTCAGGGGCTATCAAGGCTCTCCAGTTCAACCCCAAACACTCGAACTTGCTGGCAACCGGTGGTGCAAAGGGCGAGGTAGGCTACATGATGGAGAGGTGTCTAGACAGTCAGGCTTATGATTGGACAGCTCTACATTTCCGACCTGAACAATGTCGCGAACCCATACCGACTCGGAGGCACGGCGGCCCGCGCGGACGACATCGAATGCTTGGACTGGAACAAGAAGGTTGCACACATCTTGGTCACTGGTAGCAGTGCGGGCTTTGTTACTGTATGGGATGTCAAGACAAAGAAGGAGAGCTTGACTCTCAACAACATGGGCCGAAAGGCAGTTAGCGCTGTGGCCTGGGACCCGGAGAAGGTGAGGCGTTCAGGAACACCCCTTATGTTTCCTAATTTTCGCTAACGCAGCGCAGCCTACGAAACTTGTCACTGCGACCCCTCTCGAGTCCGATCCTCTGATCTGTGTCTGGGATCTCCGTAACTCGCACGCTCCAGAGAGGACCCTCCGCGGCCATGAGTCTGGTGTCTTGTCGCTCTCCTGGTGTGCCCAGGACCCCGATCTGCTTCTCTCCTCCGGAAAAGATAACCGTACGATGTGCTGGAACCCGCAAACCGGCCACGCCTATGGCGAATTCCCCGTCGTCACCAACTGGACCTTCCAGACCCGCTGGAACCCGCACAACCCCAACTTCTTCGCTACCGCATCGTTCGATGGAAAGATCTCCATCCAGACCATTCAGAACACTAGCACCGAAACCGCGCAGGCCATTGCCGATCAGAATCAGGCTCTGGATGGCGAGGACTTCTTTGCCAAGGCACAGACTCAACCTCAGGTCTCGAGCTTCTCGTTGCCGAAGCCTCCTAAGTGGCTCGAGAGGCCCTGCAGCGCCACCTTCGGCTTTGGTGGCAGAGTTGTCTCGGTCAACCTGGTTGAGAAGGGACAGCGTGCATCCAAGATTAAGATCACTCCGTTTGAGGTTGATGAAGCTGTTGGGAAGTCGACTGAGACCTTCGAGACCGCTCTCAAGGAAGGTGATCTGCGCAGCATCTGCGAAAGCAGAGCGGCTAACGCTGGCTCCGATGAGGAGAAGGCTGACTGGAAGGTCATTGAAGCCTTGATCTCTAAGGACCCTCGCAAGGGATTGGTTGAATATCTTGGCTTCGCTGACCAAGCAGACGAGGCTGCGGATAGCCTGTCTAAGCTCGGTCTCGATAAGGAAGAGGAAGTCAATGGGGAGGCGACGAAGGAATCCCGCGGGTCGGGAGCCAAGAAGCACAGGCGCCTGCAGTCGATGTTTGATGCCAATCCCGAAGCAGACAGTTTCTTGTCCGACTTGGCTGCCTCCAAGGGAGCCAAGACCAATAATCCCTTCCACATCTTTAATGGTTCGGAGAATGAAGCCGACACGGGCATTACCCGCGCGTTGCTCCTCGGTGACTTTGAGAAGGCCCTTGACGTTGCCCTCAAGGAAGACCGCCTCTCTGATGCCTTCATGATCGCCATCTGCGGCGGTCCCAAGTGCATTGAGAAGGCCCAGGAGCACTACTTCCAGAAGCAAACCAACAGCCCCAACTACGTGCGCCTGCTGGCTTCCATTGTCGGCAAGAACCTCTGGGACGTGGTTTACAACGCTGACCTGTCTAACTGGAAGGAGGTCATGGCGGCTCTCTGCACCTTCGCTGACGAGAAGGATTTCGCTGACCTTTGCGAGGCTCTGGGTGACCGACTGGAGGAAGAACTCCGCAACAACGAGGACAAGGGTATGCGCAAGGATGCTTCCTTCTGTTTCTTGGCCGGTTCCAAGCTTGAGAAGGTCGTTGCGATCTGGGTTGAGGAGCTGCGTGAGAACGAGCAGAAGGCTACCGAGACCGCCGCTGATGACTCTGCTTTCTCGATTCACGTCCGTGCTTTGCAGGGGCTCATCGAGAAGGTGACCATCTTCCGCCAGGTCACCAAGTTCGAGGACACCGAACGCACCAAGGAGTCGGACTGGAAGCTCAGCACGCTGTACGACAAGTACATCGAGTATGCCGACGTTGTTGCTACACACGGACGCCTGCAGGTTGCGCAGAAGTATCTCGACCTCGTGCCGGAGAAGCACCCCGAGGCTGAGATTGCACGGAACCGTATCAAGTTGGCTACGAGACAGGCAACCCCTCAGAGAACGCAGCCTGCCGCCGCTACTGTGACCAGGGCCGCCCTCAACAAGCCTCTCCCCCAGCCCAACACATTCCAGCCTCAGAGAGCTTACTCACCGGCTACGCCAGCTGCTGCTCCCAGCCCCTACGCTCCAGCTGCAGCGGCTGTCAACCCCTACGCTCCTCCGACTGCTGCTGCTGCCAGCGCCTATGCTCCCCCAACTGCTGCTGCTGCCAACCCTTATGCTCCGCCTACTGCTTCCGCGCCGGCGCCGCCTGTCAACCCATATGCGCCCCCAGCTGGCGGTAGCAGCTACACCCCTGCAGGATACCAGCCGCCCAAGGCACCTGCTTACGGTGCTCAGCCCCTAGGCGGTGGTGTGCCTCCGCCTCCGCGTGCATCCAACCAGTCTCCTGCCCCTACCGTCACCACCTACACCACTGCCACGAATCTGCCCGCATGGAACGATCTGCCAGAAGGTTTTGCCAAAGCTCCCACACCTCGCAGGTCCACCCCTGCCGCTGCGACGGTTGCGTCTCCCTTCCCCAACCAGTCCCCCACTCTCACACAGGGACCTCCGCCACCGGCTGGTCAGCGAGCACCCTCAGTTCCCCCTCCGCCGAAGGGCAGTGCTCCTCCTCCACGGATGACCTCGCCACCCGCCGTGCAGCCGGCTTCGACTACGATGCCCCCTCCGCCGGCCAACCCTTACGCTTCCTTGCCCCAGTCTCCTCTCATGGCGTCCACGATGGGAGTCCCAGCATCCATTCCTCGGGGACCCTCTCCATACAACGCGCCGCCTACCATGCCTCCTCCCCCCAACCGGTATGCTCCTAGCCCAGCCGCACAGGCTGCCAGCCCGCAACTGCAGACTCGGGCACCTGTCCCCCCGCCCCCGCAGGCAGCTGCTTCTCCGTATGCCCCTCAACCTCCGGCCGCGGGCCACTATGTCCCGAGCACTCCTCTGCCACACGTGCAGCCCCCGCCGCAACAAGCCCCTCCGCCTCAGGCCGCCCCGGGATCCCGGCCAAGCACGGCTTCCTCGCAGAAGAAGCCCGCGCCTGCCCCGCCTAAGTACCGTAAGTGATCCCAAACCTCTCTTTTGGTGGCCTCTGTTTCTGACTTCTCATAGCCCCCGGTGACCGTTCCCACATTCCGGCCGACGCCATGCCTGTCTACGAGATCCTCTCCGCAGACATGCAGCGCGTGAAGTCTCGGGCCCCGTCTTCCTTCAAGGCACAGGTTGATGACGCCGAACGGCGGTTGAACATCCTGTTCGACCACCTCAACAACGAGGACTTGCTCAAGCCTAACACCATTGCGGACATGGCGGAGCTGGCTCGCGCCATCCAGGCGCGCGACTATGAGACCGCCCGGACGATCCACGTCGATATTATGACTAACCGGCTGGACGAGTGCGGTAACTGGATGGTGAGCAACTTTACTTCTATACTGAACTATACCCATACTAATACTCTATCAACAGGTTGGTGTGAAGCGTCTCATCAGCATGAGCCGGGCCACCCCGTAAATTTGAGTCAAGTTTCAGTTTAAGAGGCTATGACAGGAAAAGGAAGTAAAAAAAGAACGATTATGAGTTGTATGTAAAGGAAAGACGAGTCCTCTTTCATTATGCTTCACTGTACTGCTCATTGTCCGGTTCCGTTTTGCCTTGGTTGGGCTATTTGCGAATTGTTCCTTCAGATGTCAATGTTATTACTATGTTTATTCTACTGTTGGTAGTATTGAAAAGCCGTAGGATCATACCATTGGTACCCAGTTCATTTATATGCATAAAGCCTGTGCGAGGAATAATACGTTAGTAGGTATGTGTCTCTAGTACTAGTATAGAACCACGTTTACAGTGCAAGTATGATACGTAACTTCTACAACGAAGCATTGATATACGTTACTATAATATATACAGCATTTATCCATTCATCCAACCATCCACGATCATATATCAGATACCCCTACTAAGAACCCAACACTGGTATCTCTATCTCTACCTCCCCGCCACACCCCCGATCCTGCCCCCACGACCCGCAGGAAAATTCCTCGCGCTCAACAACGCCCCCTTCACACCTCTAATCTCCGCCCTGAAGTTCGCAATCGCATCCTCCTCGCCCTTGCCCACTCCCGTTGCCGCTCCACTCCCCGAATCCATTCCAGGCGTGCTATACATCCCATACCCAGAGAGCGGGTTAAACCCAGGTTTGCTGTAGATCAATCCATCCAGGTAATGATGCAGTTCATTCAAGCGCGTGCGCATCCCACTGTCCAGCGTGCTGGATTCTTTCTCTGTGTCGGAGCATTCGCGGAGCTGGGACCGGATACTCTCGAGACGCTTCAGGTGGTCGGTTACTGCTGCGGTGGGGTCTGCTGGTGCGTCTTTGTCGGCGCCTGTCTTGTTATTGTAGGATGCGGCGAAGTCCGAGGTAGCTGTTTGGGTGGCGACGTCGCGATGGAAGAGCTCCGTTGGGTCGGAGGTGATGGACTCGGTGTCGGTGGAGGATGAGTCGTTCTCGGTGTTTGCGGGTTTGTTCTTAAGGCTTTCTGGGATGACGGAGACGTTTTGCTCCAGCTTCTCGTTTAGCTTTTGGAGGTTGCTTGTTGCTGTGGAGGCGAGCTCTTGTCGCGCGCTTGTTAGGTTCGAGAGCATCGGCTTTATCAGGTATTCGCTGGCGCCGTAGAAGCTGGCGCTGAGGCCGGCGGCGCCGTAGAGGGTGTAGAGCACGCTGCGCAGGGTTACGAGTGGGGGTGGTTTGGTGGGCGTGGAGAGGAATTCCGGGTAGGTGATTATTGGGGGGATGTCGCGGGTGGTGGTGGTTTTGGGGGGTGTTGGTGATTGGGTGGGTGTGGTGATTGAGGATGATGGCGTGGGTTGGGTGGTTGATGACGTTGAGGCATTGTTTGTTTGTTCTGGTGCTGATGCTGGTTCGGTGCTGCTGGGAGGAGTGGTGTCCGGGGAAGTGGTCTTCTCTTCTTCCTCGGTTGTATCGCTCGCCTTGGGAGTGGATGATATGCCTAAGAGGGTGTTGATCTCATCTTCTCGGAGACCTTTGGATTGCAAGAATGTCACTTTGCGATCGGTGGGAGCGTCGCGAATGGACTCGTCCTCCAGGAATTTGGCTGCTTGTTCGATGAGAGCTGACCGGGAGGTGTCGTCGGAGGTCGGCGATGAGGTAGACTCGGAGTTGTCAGTGTTGGGGTTGGAGGCGTTGTTGGGCTGCTGCCATGAAGGAATTGAGGATGGCTTGGGCTTAGAGTCCGCCATGATTTGTATGAAGAGGTGTAATTGAAAAAAGCAGGGATAGGAAAGTGGAAGAGGTAAGTTGAGTGAGGAGATAGCGATGGATAGTAGCCATGTGAGGGAAGATAAAGTGAGGAGAGACACTGAGTTGCCCCGACCTCGGCTGTATTTGTGGTATGTATGGGGGCGGTACGGGCTGTACAACAGGTACTTATTGGGGGAGATGTAGTAAGTTTGGATGCGGTTTGGGCCACAAAGGCTCTAATTGTGGTGAAACACAAACTCTATGATTACTGGGCAACATTTTAGAGGATGTTCTGACAGGTAGAGATACTATGATATTGCGAAGAAAAAAAAAAAAGAAAATACAATGTGGCTGTTCCCTAGCGACCTATACTTGTTGGTATTACTCTTGGGAGCCACGGGTGTATAGTAGTAGCTCCACTCAAAATATATTGACCGATCTATGAAGATATAGGTATTACTATGACGGGGGGTGACAGCATGGGAGTTTACAAGAAGACTATTCACCCACTGAAAATGAAAGAAATGAATTTAACTACCACAGAATATACTCAGACAATTTATTCCAAATGCAGTTATCACATAGTATGGCATATAAGCATAAATGTTGCGGTGGACAAATTAAGATGATGGAAAGGCGGGCCAAGGATTACCGACCGCCTGGCAGAACCGCCGAAGCGGCCAAAGGAAGAGGCGAAAGTCCGCGGATCTTCAAGGATTCTTCCTGCTGAAAAGGAAGCATTTCCATCAAACCGGTTCATTCTCTGCTTTGCTCTGGTTTTGGGTCGTTCGATCAGGTACCGACACATACGTGTACCTCTCTGCCTGCCAGTCCACTCAGAACATCTGCCACTGTTGTCCAAGCCCAGGTCTCACTTGGGGTTGCATTGACGACCACTTACTTTCTACTAGAGAAAGCATCTCCATCACCTCTCGGTGAGTCGTCCTCGTATTTGCCTTGACACACCCTCGCTGCTTTGCTCATGTCTCCCTGTCGCGTCTCATTTGGTCTGCTCTGGTCTCTTCTGGCCGGGCCTATACATTTGTTCAACCTCTGCGAAACATCAGAAAACTGATGATTACACCCCCCCTCTTTCCCTCCCCCTGCCCGTTTATTTACATTGATTATCCCCGAGGCCTCATTTATTTCTGCCCGCGCAACCATCGGGAAACCCCTGCTGGGTCAGTCCAGGGAATAACCCCTAAGTCCGCGCCAGATACCGCACCGCCGTTGGATTGACTGCGCCTTTTTTTTCTTGGACCTAAAACCCATCGGCCCTGAACATCTGCATTCAAAATGCTCCCATTGGCTCCGTCATCATGGTCCATGTCGCGGGGAGATGTCCAAGTGGCGTCCGTCAGAGATGTGATAGGGGTGGATGTCCTGTGCCTTTCCGGAGTGCATAGCTCATCCTGAACACTGGCCCACGTAGTCATTCTTAGCGGTGGATGATGGTAATCTGGCGCTGCTTCTGCCCATCGCGAGGATCTCATCTCTCTTGACCTCCAGATGCGCTCATTCACTCCCCTCCTTACCCTTCCCCCTCTTCCCTGCCTCTGCAATCCCACCATCTGTCCATCCACCGGGACATCCAGGGAAAAAGCCAGATAACCCCCCCTCATCACTGTTACTCTGTTTGAGTTTACTTCCAAACACATTATCTGGCTTCCCCATAACACTACCCCTGCTATCCAGTCTTGATCTGTTTCCAACTACCTTTGTTCCATCTTGCTTTACTCTCTATCTGCCATATCCACTTGGTTAGCCTGTCGCACAGTTTATGTAATTTAAGCCTGCTTTCTTTCCTGGTTGCTCTATCCTCAGATTCGTGTGGCTGGGATTGCATCTCAGTTTTGCACTTTGCGTTCTCTGTCATTGAAAGTTTTGCGGGGATTTCACTAGCAGCCACAATGCTTTTGCGTCGCTCACTACGATCCCGCTTGGGGCGGGATGACCAGCCGAGCATGGATGCTAACATGAACACCAGATCCACGAGAGCTGCCGCCCGGGCTGCCATCTCCACCCCAGCGGTGACGATTTCACGCGGTGCATCTGAACTACACGGGAATTCTACTCACAAATCAATCTATTTGACAGTAAAGATGCCGTCCAGCAAACTTCGTGAAGTTACCAGTGGTAGCACTCGAAGTGGTGCATCGACCAGACGTTCGGTCAATGTCTTCACGGAGAATCCCATCGTGACGGGTCCCCGTACCAGCAGACCCAAAAAGAAGCTTGTTGAAGTGGATACAAGCGATGAAGATGACCTGGAAGACCAGGAGGAAGATGAGGTGGACGATGATGAAGATGCGCCTGGTGAAGACGACGATGACGTAGATGCCGATGGCGATTTAGACATGGACGATGCGCCGCCACAGCCGCCAGTGTCCAAACGGCAGGCGAAAGCAGCAGCAGCAGCAGCGCCGAGCGGGAAGCCCGTCAAAAGTGTAGAGGCTAAAGAGATGGAGCTGGACGATGAGGACGAGGACGACGACGATGAGGAGCTTTCGGAACTGGAGTCAGACGCTGAAGGCGAGCCAGACGACCAGGACGAAAGTATGATGGCCAATGGTGGTGCAGAGGATCTAGAAGGGGAAGAGGAGGAAGAAGAGGACGATCTGGACAGCGATGACGATACCCCGACCGCCGACCTGAGCAAGATGACCAAACGGCAAAGAGGTAATCTGGGTAACGACTTCCTGCAACTTCCCATGGGTGAGTCTTTACGTCCCGCATGATCATTGATAGCATTGTGAGTCTGACTGAGAGCAGAACCCCAGGTGAAGAAGCATCTGACGGCTGAGGAGCGCGCCATGCGTCGTGCCGAAATGGCTCGTCGTAGAAAGAACCTCAGCGAGAAGCGGAATGAGGAGGAGAAGGTACGTACCATCTAGGGTTCCGCAAAGTGCAGCGGGATGGGAGTTTCTGTACTCCAAGTCGATGCTGATATGAGAATCACAGATGGACACCATCAACAGGCTTCTACGGAAGCAGGCACCCAAGCGCCGAGGACGTATTCCAGCTGCAGAGACAGCCGAAGCAGCTTCTGCGGACCAGGAGGTCGCGGAACCCGAGAAACCCGATCCGACAATGGTGAGGTGGGTAAGTGGCCGCGAAGGCAGTCGAGTAGGCGTGCCGGAGGAATGGCTCGATATACCTGCAGGGCGTGTCTTTGGTGGCAATGGCTCGGGCAAGCTCGTGCAAGAGGTGTAACAGGCATGGGAAGTTGGGCGCATCTGGAGCTGGGCGTTTGAAATAGGTTTCTAGGGAGGGTATAGGCTTCTATAATACTTAGGTCAGGGATGTACATTTACAAAGTGGATCATTTCAATAGCTGTATTCATTGGGTTATCCTGGAGCTTTCTGTAGAAGTACTGAACGTTGTTTTAGTTCTATATGGCTATTTAGAAAGTATTGGCCATCGATGACCGTTGAGCTGTGGAGTCACATGGTTAATGGTAGAAGCTCGTACTATACCCAAGCTGCACATAACCTGCCTGCGTCCTTGATCTCACTGCAGTCCATTATTATGGTGTAGCCCACACAAGACAAAATTTCACAGTCACCGCTAGTAGTCACTGAGGAGTCAGTGCAGGCTCCATTTGTGACTTTATCCTCTATTCCATACAGTCAGGAACTCGCAAAAAGATCAATGCGGTCATTATTCTGGCTATATATCACCGACCAGCGGCGTCTCAGTGTATGCATTCCAAAGCAACTTATTCAATTGCAAGCTAGCTTTTTTGGGCCTCGGGGGCCTTCGCTTCGCTGGGTTGGGTCACCGGCTTGTTCAAATCCTTGTCTGAACTGGGAGTGGGAGTGGGAGCGATCTTTTGATCTTGCGCCGGCGGAGTCCTATGGGTGAAGCATTCCAGTCAAAAGGGAACGGCATGCAAAACAGGTGGCTTGGTAGGTCGGCCTTACTGAGGACCCGTCTTCTCCGATTGCAATTCTCGCAACGCAGGCTGGAAGGTATAGTATCCTGCAAACCCGGAAAAACGTAACAATTAGCAAGCTGATGGCAATCACATGCTCATATGAATGAGCGAGTGTGGAAATCCCCAATACTTACCAGTCCAGACACCCATGCCAATGGCCATAAGGGCCGGAATCCAATTGCGACTCATGATGCAGACTATCCAGTGGCTGCTGGGGAAGTTTCAATGCGGGAGATTGAGCTAGCAATGGTGCCGTAGCGTTAATTGAAAGAGCTCGCCGGGCCAAGCTCCGGCCGGACCGCCCGCCGGGCAATCGCCAAAATTGCGCCAGCCCATCCGCCGTTTAAGCCCCATCGCGTCCTCCCCACATTTTCGACGCGTCGCATCGACCAGCAACCAACTGCGTCAATTAACCCGCTCAACTTTCACTACGTACCAATCCTGGTGGATCTGGACGCCCCTGGCACGACCCCCGACTGACTGGTCAGATTCTTGTGCAATTTTTCGTCCGCCTCCGCTCCCATAGATTATCGTGCGCAGTATTTCGGGCCCTGCCGCCGTTACGAGGTGATGAATATCTAGGGAGATGGGCCATCCGCGCCTAGGATACAAATGGAATCATGGCGGGCGCGAGGGTTCGTACCGGACTCGGACTCGGAGGACGGACTCGACAGCCAGGAGACAGGAGACTTGAACAATGCTGTCGAAGATTCGGTCGCGGAAATCGGTTGTGCAGTTGCAGTTGTCGTGGAGGAGACTACTGCCCTGGATCGACGGGATGAAGCTCAATCTGAGGTGCAGGCAAATGCTTCTCAGGACAGCAATGTCGAATATGACCGTCCTGTAACTCCTTCACACGATCTTGATGGTGCCTCTGGGCCAACAGATCAGCATGACGGGGGTAACAAAGCCGTGGAAGAATTGTCCGCGATTTCCGAGCACAAGGAGAATCCTCGTGCGGAGGAGACTATTGAAGATCCTCACTTGCCTACACAATCTTCGGAAACAGCTAACAATCGGTCTAAGTCTGTCGATGAGGACGACAAATCCGAGGAATCGTTGCATGGACCCTCTAAAGACGAGGAAACTCCTCGTGCCGAGAAGAAGATTGACGACTTTCGCCTGCCTACGAACTCTCCAGAAAAAGCTAATGCCAGACCGACAACAGCTGATGAGGAACTGTTGCCTGGAGTCGCTGAGGATGAAGAGACCCCCCGTGCAAAGGAAAAAGACGACTTTCGGCTCCCTGCGCAACCTTCAAACGCAACTAATGGTAGCGCACCACCTACCCCACGAGCCAAGGAGCACGATAGTATCTGGGATTTCCCAAGTTCAGAAGACGAATTGCAATTCGACTACCGACCGTCAAGGAGACCGCTTCATGTCTACTCAAGGAATAAGCTCGACAGCCAGCCGCGGCAAGATCAGGAGAACAATGACTTGTCGACTCCTTCATCCCCCCTATCGTCTTTGGACTCAATTCAATTTGACGAGGATGACCAAGGCAGCCAGGAGCAACCAGAACAACCGGAGCGGCCAACGAACAACTTCCCCGAGGATTTGCTACCTCCACTCGATCTCCCAGAGGAAATACTGCGGGAAATGTCACCGCCGGCGCGAAGATCATTACGAGAACGCAAAGCCATTCAGTTGCATCCTTACATGTTGGAGGACGCCAAGTATCGGACTATGATGCGCGCACGAGGCGTCAAGCCTGTACGGGTGGCTCAGCCGGGATTGGCTCGGCCTACAGGCGATGAGAGTCAAGGCAAGGAATACGTTGACACCGCCGAGCCCATGTCTGATAGCTTTGGAGCAGAGTTTGAGTTCCAACCCTCATCACCAATAGCCCCTCGTCCTGCAGAAAAAAGGTTGTCTAGAAACTCCCCGGAACCTGCGCTACAACATGGTTCTCCACAATTGGGCCACTCTCCAGCTGGCGTGCTAGACCGGCAACCGAAAAGGCGCAAATTATCCAGGCCTCATCAAGAGCACCGATCTCACACGCGAAATCTGCAACAGCCAAGTGTAGTAATCGTGAATTCATCCCCCGTGCGTCAAATTAATGCTTCGACCTTCGGTGTCCCAAGCCCACCCCGTTCGGAGGAGAATGCTACTTCTTCGCCCGCTACAGCACCTTCCAACGTTTTTCGGTTTCCTCGTGGCTATACACCACCATCGGTGACTACCAACACAAAATCAGGACATGGAGATACGGCTCAAGAGGACGATGGGATGAACTGGTCTGGAGGCGAAGAGGATGGCGACCCTGTTGAAGCCCATCTGGAAGCAAATCCTACGCAGTCAAACTCTGAAGCCGAGGATGCAAGCGCGGTTGAGAGCGAGAACGAGGACTTTGATGTCAGACTGTATCAGCGTCGAATTAAAGGTGTCTTACCGGCGTCGTGGCTGAGATTGGACCAGAAACAACAAGAAGGACGCTTAAGTGCTACGCAGCGACAGCGGGAAAGGATGCATTCCAGAACGGAAAATGCAAAGGGCGTTGCACGTAAAATAACCAAAAGTAACAGTACGACAATAGCACCAGGCTCGGACACAAAGCTCTCCTCACTGAGACAGCTTGCTGATCCGGATTCTGGCGATGAGGATGAAGCTAAAGACGGGGACGACACGGCCAATTCCCGGCAACTACTGGCTAACCTTGGACTTGAACCATTCGATGATAATGAATTCGGGGAGGACATCCCGGAAGACAATCGGATTGATTACATGCTCCCACCTGCACCTCGTGCCGCCTCGACCAAGACCCGGCAGCCAGGAAAGAAACGACCTACGTTGCAGGGTAATAGCATACGCTCTGCTCATGCGCCTAAACGCCCTCGGATGGAGAGACAAACAAGGCTTACAGACCCTGCTTATGGGTCTAGAAAGCAGAATAAATTTACGCCCAGCATGCCTAAAATTGGTATCCTGGACGCACCAGATGTTGCCTCTAGGTCCCGTGGGGAGCAACCGCTCTTTCTTAGGATCGCCGCAAGAGAAGCACGCTCTCGTCAGGACAAAGGGAGACGAAGTCCCACACGGAAAGTTTTTAACTTCAGTTCGCGTGTGGATACGGAGGACGCCAACAAGTCGTTGCACGATTGGCAAGAAGGACGACTTCGACAAACGAAATTGCCTCCGTCTCGGCCCAAGACCAAGGTAGCCGGACGACAACCGCTGGCTGTTCTTTCTTCGAACCGGCCAGCCAGGTCTCAGATAAGAGCTACCGAAGGAGCGAGTGAGAGCCGTAAGATGGATTCTTCGTCAGCTCCCCCATCCAGAGCGAACAGTACAGCCGATGAGCACGCCACTAGTACAGAACCTCGCGTTCCTGGTCAAGTAACTAAGACAGCTGTTAACTCTAGCAGGCTGATGCAACCAGAGCAACGGCCTAACAAATGGATTGTTCGAAGAAATCTGGCTATTACTTCGTTGACAAGGCAAGACCCGCGGCCTGTAATGCTTGAGGTAGCAAACCCTCGTGGCAAGCCTGCATCACCATTGTCGTTTCAGAGGTCTCTCTCCTTGATCAATCGGGACTATCGGCATAAAGGCCTACCTAAGGCACGCCAGAGTAACTTGGTCTTAGATCGCTTCATCTCAAGCCGCAGCTCATCTCCTGCTACTGCCGGCGCCCAGACCACTGATACGAATCAGCCTACACATAAACCGGAAGCCAGACCGCCAGGAGTGCGAACACAAGCTCAGCGCCAGTTAAAGAAGCGGCCACCGAAGCGGCTGGCAGTCAATGACAACCAATATCAACAGCCTTTGGTTCTGGAGTCGACAGATCCAGAACCCTTCCTACAGAGTGGGAACTTGCCTATAGATAGCTCATCCGATGCGCTTCATGGGTTCAAGCCTTCGTATAGCGTGGCCTTCAACATATTTCCATTGTCTACTGGCACATTCTTCCACCAAAACACTTTCCTCGGAAGTGGGAAGTTTGCGCACTCGCTGGAGTTCCTTAAGCGAGATCTTGACAGAGATGCTGGTTTCCTCTCGTTCAAGGCGGGAGGTAGAACCTATCGCTGGGGCTCTTGGAATGACGCGGTGTCTTCGGAGTTGGGTTTGGTCTTAGACAGCATGATTGAACTAATTGAGAAGAGCGACGCCGGGCTGATCGAAGGGTCGGAGAATGCCGAGAAGGATGATTGTAGCCTATACAAGTACCTGGTCAAGTATGTCACGGACACGCTCTCCTTCATCGACCCCATCGACAGGATAGGATTCGTGAGACGGGCTCTGAGCCTTGTCTGCAAGCTCAATGATACTCTGACAACACTGGTCCCAAAATCTGAGCGCGAGATAGGGTACTTGGCAACGATATGCTCGTACAATTCTGTATTTGCGTACCAAATTTTCCAGATTTCCGAGCATGGTCT